ATCAACGAAGGCAAAACACGCTGTACGGGACAGCGACGACCGCTTGTAACGCTGGAACGATGCACCATCTTTCAGAAAAGATTAAGAAAAATTAGCTGTCAAAGACCCACATATAGCTGTTTGAGATTGTCTGCTTTGGGAGAGTGAATATTGCCACTCAACTGGATGAGGGATACAGGCTAGCTGTCCGCCGCCACAACGATGAGGTTAGCAACAGCAGAGTCGTGAACACTGTCTACGAGAATCGAGACGACCTCATATAATGTTTTGAAGCCATCCGGACGGGTTCATTGGGTTCATTTGACCAGCACACCTTGAGAGAGGCAGCTGGCTACGTGAGGATACTACATGATGAAGATTAATTTTTTTCCTGCGGCTTTTTCACAAAATCATGCCCCACGTCGACATTCTGTACCAGAAGCTACAGAAGAAGGACATCGATGCTGTCTCTATCAAACGTGCCCTCGACAGCTTCACAAGCAAGTGCAGGCCATAAGGTAAGATTAAACAGATATCAAAAAATGTGGTAAAGCTCTTGTTGATCCTGCAATCTGAACAAATACCAAGATGCTGTATTTTCAGCTGATATTTCATTTGTTTATGGAAATGCATATTGTTTATGCAGTGTTGAGGAATGTGAAAGAACACCCTTGATTATTTTTACTGTGATAACTTATTTTGCTTTTGTAAGCCAACACTTTTGAGATCAGTCAATAAATGCTTCTGGTATTGACTTATATGCTGCCCCTGTCTTCATGTTGTTGCTGGACATATCTTTTTAAAAATGTGTGTAGGTCACCTAAATCATCAGAAAAATTGCCCTCCCTGAGAATTTGTTCAGGAGCCGCCACTGTTCAAATCAATTATATCAGTAGCAAGCTTTGGACCCCAGGAAGAGTAGCTGCTGCCTTAGAAAAATATCATCTTCAGCACAAAGGGGTTTACATCAGCAAGAGCAAGGCAGGCCAGGGCTCATGATTGGGAACGCCTATCCATTGTAGTGTGTAATGGAGTGTAACTCTTAGAAAAAAGGTGGTAAGTAGAACCATACGGGGTTCTTCAGTTTGTCCCCATAGGGGAACCCTTTTTGGTGCTGGGTAGAACCCTTTGCAGAGGGTTCTATCTAGAACCCTCTATGTTTGGTTCTTGAAATAACTCCCTGTATATGGTTTTACCCTCTATGAAGGGTTCTACCAATAACCATTTTATCATCTAAAGGTTCTTCCTAGAACCATCTATGAAGGGTACTACCTCAATCATCTACACTTGAACAACCATCTCAGTAACAGGTGCAATAAATCCAATTACTAACAGATTGGATTTGTTTCGAAAACTGTATGTTATTTATCTGTGTAGCATAAAATGTATCAACCAATCAATGTACAGTACATGCAAAAACACAGATTTTAGAGTAAACTAAACCATTCTGAAAATCTTCCAGCAATAGAGCATGCTGGGAAATGCTATACATGGTTCCATGTAGAACCCTTCTTGCCTTCCGAAGAATCATCAAAGAACCCTTTCTTCCAAAACGGTTCTTAGGACGTTTGCACACAGTGTTATATATTTTCTGTTGTATTTTTGACTTTATGTTTTGTTTTACCCCATATGTAACTCTGTGTTGTTGTTTTTATTGCACTGCTTTGCTTTATCTTGGCCAGGTCGCAGTTGTAAATGAGAACTTGTTCTCAACTGGCTTACCTGGTTAAATAAAGGTGAAATAAAACATAAAATAAAAATGTTAAAGGTTCTAGGTAGAACCTTTTGACTTCCAAAGAACCCTTGTCTTCCAAAAAGGGTATTTCTGATCAAATAGGTTCTTGGTAGAATCTTATCCTTCCACAAAGAACCGTTTTGGAACCCTTTTTTCTAAGAGTGTACTTACTTGTGATCTGTTTTCTTAATTATCTTAATTATTTTAGATGTTTTCTTAGAACATGCCCTTGTTGTTAATGGCGGGACTGAGTGGCGAACGGTGTATAGTGTTCTTGTGTTGGGCACATACTGAATATGTCAACCCAACAAATTCAGATTGGTTTACTTTCATCATACGACTTCACTTGTCATTTGTGAAAGGCTTGAAAACTGATTACAAAACAAACACCACAAGAAGGCCTAACACCTTACCGTCTGCACTTGTCTTTTCTTCCAAGCACAATGATTTTGTTGCTAGCTGCTTTTTTTGAGGCCAAGTTTGACTCTCTGTGATATGTGGTTGTTGTATCTTAAGGATGAATGTACTAACTGTAAGTCAACTCTGGATAAGAAGGTCTGCTACATTACTAAAATGTAAAATGTCATTTGTAATGTTCATTATAATCTCTCATGGACAGACTATGTAATAAATATGAAATCTGACGCAATTAGCCAAGATTTTATGTTCATTATAATTGTCGTGTCGCGTCTGCTGTTGGTGGCTTATTGCTGTCAATCAAAGAGTCCGCTTAGGCTGCACCGTGATTAGAGGCTTTTATAATATCACGCGTTTACAGCATAAGTTACAGACCCGCGGTGTCTGGAGAAGCATCGTCCCAAATTAATCTGAATGCTTCTGACTCCCCCTTTGTCTAGCTCCTACTTATAAACAATGGCAGAAATGGGTTGCTCCCTCTTTCGTCCAATCACCGGTCTCCCCTGGGGCGTCACCCTCCAACTGCTACATTTAACTAAGATAAACAGTTTTTCTTTGTCCCTCAAGTTAGTCCATAATCTTCATACACGACAATAATCATACTGTATTCACCACCAGTCGAGTATGACCAAAGAGCTGGAAAGGATTTGTTAGGCATATATTTGAGGACTCAACTCAGACACTATTCATATTTTATTGAGGAAAAATATCCAAATCATGTTCAACATGGACTGTTGTAGTTTCTGAAAAGTATCTTCCCTTTTGACAAGCGGACTCCAGATATTTAGTACAAAAATATCCCTGTACAAATTCACCCCACATTGTTAGAACATAGTTCGAATTACGGGACTAGGGGGGACTAGGCACCTCCCTAACAAATTGAACTCTGAATAAGTATGAAAAACTTGTAAGACATACAGTATGTATTACACATAATATGTGGCATATTGATTTTGGATTATAGTGCCACCAGATCAGGGACATATATTTTAGTTAATATCCTTGTTGTCCCCAAACCACATTTTCTCAGATGTTCTCAGTCTACCATGCACCTCCCATTGGTCCTCCTCAAAGTGGTAATACCAGACTCAGCAGTAGTGGAGCAGGATGTTTAGGAGGAGGTAGGGCAGACAGGCTCTCCCTCAACCATGTACCACACCTCATTGTGCCTGTTCAGAATCTTCATTGGGCTGTAGGACCACCACACATACACACAAACACACAACACACACACACACACACACCCACACACACACACATACAAACACACACACAAAATATAAAGTATGTTTGAAAAAGGTATTTTGGTGAATTGGGTTGGATGTTGGATATGAGTATATTGAAGGATTTGTATCCGTGCTCTCACATGTCATATCCCACAGCGTAGTGGTAGTCTTTGTTATAGGTGGCCTGGACTTTGTCTAGCTGCCTTTTCAGCAGCATGGAGTTTACACTGGATGTCAAGACATCATCCATCCACCGTAGCTCCTCACATACACTTTCATGTCTGGCATCTCTGTAAAGTACACCTGCACGGGGAAATCACAATGACATCCCACATTGTTAGCCAGGGGTCTTTAAAAAGCAACGCACACCTGACATGGGTTCAAATAGTATTTTGTGTTTTTTCAAATACTTAAGCTGCGCTCGATTGAGCTTGCCTGGCTCAGTGGTGCCAATGGAATAGTCCCAAAAGTGCAAACCCCGCCCATCTGGAACTCTAGAAAAGCTGCATAAGGCGTAGGGTCTAGGGGGTCTATTTGAGATTGGGTCTTACCCCTGTTATCAGTGGGTTGGGGAGGAGTCATCTGATAGTCAGACGGCAGGAGGAAGCTGAGGGTGAAGACAGACGACTGCCACATCCTCTTCTTCTCCTCAATTTTGACAGTCACCGGAGCTGTCATGTCAATGTTGGACACCTATAGGAAAAATGTGCATACACCACACACACAATAGATCAATACGCACAAACACATGCACACCACGCATTCACGCACACACACACACACACACACACACACACACGAACACACACACACACCAGCCTCGTTGGATCCGGTGATGTATTTGAAGAGTCTCCTGAAGGCAGTTTAGATGGCCTTGTCCATGAAGTAGCATTCCTCGTCTGTCGACACCCATTTCACAGAGTCATAGTGGCGCACCTGTAACACAGACACAAACCTTCACTCAGAGTCCTGTGTTGGAGAGTGTATTGAGTTGCGGATGTTGGAGCAGGGGGAGCAACTTTGGTGTCTAGGCCCGGTAGAAAAGGGTGGGAAGCCTGGTTTCTGGGGCTCGGGGAGTTGTCAGGTGGATGGTAGCTGGGTGGGGATTGTTTTACGAATGCAGGTACATTCGTCTATGTTTTCACAATTTTATGGAAAATTAAAAATGATTATTATCATGTTGATAAACTATATTCTGATGAAAATGCAATTGTATTTTATCTGCAACCCTGACAGAAAACTAAACAATAAAACAAAATGTGGTCACAAATAATACCCCTGACTCAGTTTTACAGTATGTGCCATTAATTTGTGCTTTACAATGAACTCACCTCATAATCGTCATTCTTGCACACCAGATCATACAGCAGACATTCCCTTGACTCGGTACAAAAGCTAGACTCAGAGGAGTTCCTATAGGGTTCAGTGGAAAATAAATCAATAATGGAGAATAGCAGAAAAATGTTGCACAACATCAATATTCAATATAAATATTCAAACATTCAATATACAAACAGCGTATGATTTCTGAAAAGTGTGGTTATTATGTGTGGAAAGTAATAACAGATGTGTATTATAACTTCCTTACCCAATTCTGGCCTCAGCAGTCAAGATGAGAAGCAAGCCAACCAACCCTGCAAAATAAACCCTGAAGTACACACAAACAGTCAGTGTCATTATCACATTAAAAACCTAAAGTACACACAAACAGTCAGTGTCATCACATTAAAAAACCTAAAGTACACACGAATACTCAGTCATATTAAAAACCTAAAGTAGTGTCATGACTCTCTCTGGGTGAGGATCAAAGGCATCATATCAGCAAGACAATGGCCGACAACAACCAGACCCTCTTACCCACAGGGGTGGGGGCTGTGCCGGTCTTGACACCTTAATACTGCCCATAAATTATAGATAGGAGAATCTATCTCTGGCCCTGTAGAATGGTAAAAGGAATGTCATTTGTTTCAGAGTCTTTTGCCGCCTAAAACATCAACATCAACAATGAACATTGGGACAATATATTTTCAACATCCAAACGTTGGGAATGATGAGAAATGAATATGGAAAATGTATGTCTATTTTGTGATGTCATTAACATTTTTATAAAGGCGTTATAACGAAAACATTGTGACTTGAAGAGCTTTTACACTGTGTATATCAGGTGTACATCCTTTACATTGTGTAGAAAATATCAAGGAGGAAGACAATGTTCCGTGAAGATAAGAATGTGATTTTCGTTTCTAACAAAATCATAGTGGTAATAATACTTTTGCCTCATAACTAGCCACACCCGAGGGAGCTCAGAGAGCGTGTCAGTATGACGGAAACGTCCCTCTTTACCAGAGTGCATAAAAGACAGAGATAAGAATTATCAGATCAGACTAGACGGACCTCAAGCTGCAGCTGTTGTCCATATTGGTCCCGCCCCTAAAAATCAACATGAGGTGAAGATGACAAAGTTGCCTCCACTAACAATCAATGTTACGGCTGAGTAGCTGTTCTAAGTACTGTATCTAAGAAGGTGAATTTAAGTGGGACCATCCTCTTCAAACCATCGTCTACACTGTTCTCATCACCCCACGGGGGATCATCGACACGGCTGATTAGCCGTCCTCAGAAGACCACTTCCAGAATGAGTGAAAGTAAACAGATGACTAAAAAAGGAGGACATTGTGACCTCTTGTGGACAATCTGTGCCTTACATCTGAGCCTTAATCTAAAAGGCCATCCGAAAAGAGAAGGCCCAATCGACCCTTCCCACAAAGGCCTGGGTCCAACAGAGACGACGCAGACAAACACGTAAATACATGCATTACTTCTTACCAAACGGGCAGGCAGTTCTGGCAAAGTATTAGGATTACTATGAGCTTAGGTCCATGTGTATCCAAGTGTTTTTCTCTCTCTCCGCTCTGTAACTCGCCAAGTGTCATATTGTATTAGTCCGCTAGGGACCTGTTTTCATTGTATTAAGTTTCTTATCCCTACTATACCGTGTATGTTTTGTATCTTGTGAATCATTTTTAATTAGTTAGTAAATATATAATTAAATCAATTTGTGTGGTCGGAATGATCAGTAAGACCCGGGTTGTGCAGACATTAAAGAGCCTACGACTTTCAGAATGAGACTGATATGAGTAAATGATTAATAACATGACTGTTAATGATAAGAGATATTTTGTATCTTTAGAGTTATTCCGGGGAATGGTAACTTGTTAAACAACTTTTACCGTGGTGCCCAAATTCCTAATGAGTTAATTGTTACATTATTAATGTAATCTAGTAACAAACAACATAGGAGGTCATTATTCGATAAATAATAGTCATCACAATAATGAAAGTCACGTTACAATGGGCTAATAATATTATTAAAACCTAAAGTACAAAACCGCCAGTGACCACATAGATGAAAAATCTATTATTTAGACATTAATAATAAACTATTGCCATATATTGTAATACTTTAAAAGACAGTTCTAAATTATGTTACTACAACTTTCAATTTTTATATAAATCAACTTTCCCTTTAATAATTAACACCATCACAAGTCAAAGGAAACGTATCAAAGCAATGAGACTATCATTTCTACTTACATTGTGCGGGGTGTGTGTCTTTAGATCAGCTCAGTCCAGATGCATCCACTGGCCTGAGGGAAATGCTTGCAGAGAAACTATTATACCAAACTGAGGGTTATGAAAGGAAACCTGGATCCCTTCCTAAAACTTGTGAGACACACCCACTTCACTGCAGAATGGCCCGGGGGCCTCAACAAATATGTGCAATGGGCTTATTTAACCTGCTGAAGAGAAAACAGGTGGTTTATAAATGTGTGTGCCAAGTTAGATAACGCGGGACTATCATTCTTGATGTGTCTTTGAAAAAAGAGTATAGGCTTATTGAGAAAGAGGCTGTGACTAGATCCGTCACTTGTAGTAGACTGTTTATATTTCTTTTCATAAAGAGAAAGCCTTTGCTGTTTCGCAATAACAGCCCGGCTGCCACGTATAGAGGAAATAAATAGCACTTGTATCCACTGGCCTAAGGGAAATGCCTTTGGAAAGTATTCAGACCCCTTGACTTTTTCCACATTTTGTTACGTTACAGCCTTATTCTAAAATTTATTAAAATGTTTTTTTTTCCCCTCATCAATCTAAACACAATACCCCATAATGACAACGCAAAAAACAGGTTTTAGAAGTTTTGCAAATGTTACATTTACATAAGTATTCAGACCATTTACTCATTACATTGTTGAAACACATTTGGCAGCGATTACAGCATCGAGTATTCTTGCGTATGACGCTACAAGCTTGGTGTTAGGCTCTGGTTCAACCCAGCACTCAGAGAAACAACCACGGGGTGGAAGAAACAAAAATATTTTAATAAAAGTTCCCAAAATTGTCTTAGTCCAAAAACAACTGAAGAAAAGGAACAGAGTGGGTGGGGTCCGGGGGAAGGAGAGGCTGAGGCGGGAGGAGGCGGGCGGCGACCGGCAGGCAGGAGGGCAGGCGGTTTGGGAGGTTTCTGAATGAAAAAAAAACAAACGACGGGTTTAAGAAGTGGGGGCCCGTGAAGACAAAAAAAAATAACTTTATGGTGAGCCAAGTTCCCGCTCTGGTAAGAACCGATTGGCCCCGGGTGGAAGCCATGCCCCGGGAAATTTAGTATGCGGGTTTGATGAGAGGAAATAGGATGCAGGGGTAGGCGGGAATCACGGGAAACAACCCGCAGCGGCACAGAAGGGGAATGGGACACGCCCCCTGATCCACTCCAGAACCCCAATAAAGGGGACAAACACACATACGAACAACAACACAGAGGGGACAAAAAAAAGGGAAAGGGGGGAAACAAAAAAAGGGAGGGACAAGCTGCCAATAACAGTCCCCCCCCTCAATGGTCCCCCACTGGCGACCCCCGGCCTGTCGGGGTTGTTGAGGGAAGCCCGTGATCAGCTGAGGATCCAACAAAAAAGTTAGGGCCCCAAAGCCTCTCTCGGCCCCAAAACCCTTCCCAATCGATGGGTATTGGGCCCCTACCCGCCCCGGGGGCCGGAGCCTACTGAGGGTGTGGGCCCCGGGAGGGTCGTCAAGAGGCGAACAGGTGGAGGTGGATCCCCGGGGAAAACAAAGGTGGAGGACCAGGTTTATGGGAAGTGAAAGAGGGGGTCTTCATCTAAGGAAACTTCAAACAAACCGAGCGGGGTAATATGGCCCCCCCAAAAAAAGGGCCAGGTCCCGGGGACCTTGCGTATTGGACAAGAGGTACTTCTTAACCAGCCAAACCTCTTGCCCGGGTTTAAAAACCCGGTGGGGAGTCCTGCCCCATCCGCTGTCATTTGTTCTGTCGGGGGTCCAAAGCAAGTTTCCCGACGTCGCCCCACACTCTTGGCAGCGGCGGAGGTTTCCCAAACCAAAGGAACACCCAAAATTTCCTTCTCCTGAGCAGGAAAAAAGGGGGGGTTTTAAACCCCAGGGAACTTCAAAGGGGTAAAAGCCCATTGGAAGGGGGTGAGGGAGTTGGGGGCTACTCTATCCAAGGAAAGGGTTTGGGCCCCGGATGTGGATTTGAGCAGCCACCAACAAAGGGGTTTCTTCGGGTCTTGTTTTGGCTCTTTCTTTTTGACCTTTGGGGTCTGGGGTGAAACCCGGGGGACAGCAAGGGAACCCCACCCAAGCAGAACAAAAACCTTTCCCAAAAACCCGGGGAAAAAACTTGGGCCTCTATCAGAACGAGTCCAAGGTTTTCCCATGGGGACGGAATACTTTGGGAAGGGGTCCGCTTTCAGGCAACGGAAATTTTTGGTAATGCTATATAGGAACAGATTAGAGAATCTGCCCAAAGGAAAGTTAGTATCATTACCTTCAGACTTGGGTGGGGGGGTGGAAAAAAATCCCAGGGGCTATGTGGGCCCGGGGAGGGCGGGAATGGGAGGGGTAGCGCACCCCAAAGGGGGTGATGGGAGGCTTTCCCCCGAGCACGGGTTGAAAGGCTGCCACAAAAGCCCGAACGTCAGTTTCCATTGAAGGCCACCAAAATGTCCCAAAAGCGCGTCAACGTGCGTCCATCCAGGGTGCCACAAAACGGGAGGGTGGAATCCCTGCAAAAACGAGACGGCCCGTCTCGGAAAAAAGAGTAGGTTGGGAGGCCCAAACCCCCGGCCCCGGGGCCGGGGCAGTGCATCTTAACAAAACTCGTCTCCCATGAAACCCCCACGACGCGAGGAAGGCGGACCCCTTTACCGCGGTCCCGAAGGGTCAGAAAAGGCGGAAAAAAGCATTATTTTAAAATTTTTTGCCCCGGTCTGTATGAAAGAATAAAGTTAAACCTACAAAAAAACGGGGGCCCATTGGCTTGGGTAGTTGAGCTTTAGTGGCTTGGATGTAACCCAAATTTTTGTGGTCGTCCGCCCAAAAACGGCTTTAGCTCATCCGCCAGGCCGCCTTCTTCCATTTAGCTTGACCGCCGCATTTCGGTTTCCAACGTCGAAATTTCCCGTTTGGGGGTGACAATTTTTTGGGAGAAAAAAGACGGGGTAAGCTTTTGGTCAGGGGGGACCCGGGGGAGAGGGACTGCTCCCACACCTGAGTCCGACGCGTCCACCCAAACAAAATGAGAAGGTATTTGGGGGTTTATCAACCAGGGGGGT